CTAATTCAGTAAAGATAAATGAATTCAGTGAAGTCACAGAATACAAAGTAAACATACAGAAATCTGTTGCATTTCTATATACCAATAATGAAGCAGCAGAAAGAGAAATTAAGGAATCATTCTCTTTGTACAAAAAATAAGATACCTAGCAATAAACCTAAGCAAAGAGATGAAAAGACCTATACCTTTAAAACTAGGAAACACTGATGAAAGAAATTGAAGATGACACAAAGAAATGGAAAGACATTCCATGCTCATGGATTGAAAGAACAAATATTATTAAAATGTCTATAGTACCCCATTCTACACATTAAATGCAATTCCTGTCAAAATACCAATAGCATTTTTCACAGAACTAGAACAAAGAATATTAAAATTTGTATGGAACCACAAAAGATCCCAATAGCCAAAGCATTCTTGAAAAAGAAAAACAAAGCTGGAGTCATCCCAATTCTGGACTTCAAGTTTTATGCTATGGTCATCAAAATAGTATGGTACTGGCACAAAAATAGCCAAATAGATCAACAGAACAAAATAGAAAACCAGAAATGAACCCACAGCTGTATGGTCAATATAGTTTCCTGCTTTGACAAAGCAGGAAAGAATATTCAATGGGAAAAAGACTATCTTTTCAACAAAAAGTGTTGGGAAAATTGGACAGCAACATGGAAAAGAATGAAACTGGACCACTTTCTTGTACCATACACAAAAATAAATTTTAAAAATGGATTAAAGATCTAAATGTGAGGCCTGAAACCATCAAAATCCTAGAAGAGAACACAGGCAGTAACTTTTTTGACATAAGTTGTAGCAAATTCCTTGGGGTATGTCTCCTGAGGCAAGGGAAACAAAAAGAAAAAAAAATTATTGGGACTACATCAAAACAAAAGCCTTCTGCACAATACAGAAACTTCTGCACAATACAGAAAACAATCAACCAAACTAAAAATCAACCTACAGAATAGGAGAAGCTACTTGGAAATGACATTTCCAATAAAGACTTTGTATCCAAAATACATAAAGAAATTACACAACTCAACACCTCCAAAAAAACGATCAAATTAAAGAATGGGCAGAAGACATGCATAGACATTTTTCCAAAGAAGACATACAGATGGCCAATAGATACATGGAAAGATGCTCAACATCACATATTATCAGGGAAGTTCAAATCAAAACTACAGTGAGATATCAGTCTACACCTGTCAGAATCCTAAAATCAGCAACACAAGCAGCAACAGATTTTGGTGAGGTTGTGAAGAAAAGGAAACCCTCTTACACTGTTGGTGGAAATGCAAACAGGTGCAGCCACTGTAGAAAACAGTATGGAGATTCCTCAAAAAGAATTTTTAAAACTACCCTATAATCTAGCAATTGCACCACTAGGTATTTACCCAAAGAATACAAAAATACTTCAAAATAATTCAAAGGGATACATGCACCCCAATGTTTCTAGCAGCATTATCTACAATAGCCAAATTATGGAAACCGCCCAAGTGTCCATTGACTGATGAATAGAAAAATAGTAATGGATAAAAATACAATGGAATATTACTGAACCGTAAAAAAAGAATGAAATCTTATCATTTGCAATGACCTGGATGGAGCTAGAGAGTATAATGCTAAATGAAATTAAGTCAGTCAAAACAAAGAGAAAAAGAGAGAAGCAAACCAAGAAACAGACTCTTGACTATATAGAACAAACTGATGGTTACCAAAGGGGAGGTGGGTGAGGGAGTAGGTTATATAGGTGATGGGAATTTAGGAGTGCATGTGTCATGATGAACACTAGATGATGTATGAAAGTATTGAATCACTATTGTATACCTGGAACTGATAAAATACTGTATGTTAGCTAACTGGAATCAAAATAAAACTTAAAAAAATAAAAGGAAAGATTGAAAGTATGTACATTTGCATGTACATATATGTATGTCATTGTACATCATAAATACACACATGTGGATCATTATTTGTTGAACACTTTCCATAATGCATGAATCTGAACAGAGGGAATAATGGCAGCTTGACTATGATAGATAAGAAAAGTATGTAGTAGGTGAGGGCCTGGTTTCCTGGCCCAGGACTCAGAGCTTTTGAAGGAAGTGAACAGCAATTCCCAAGCCAAGCCGATGGAGTGTAATGGGGTGTACTGATGTAGCCCACTGAAGGGTTCATCGAGGTAGGGAATACAGGGAAAGGCCCTGAGAAAAAATACCCAGAATGTTCCCATGCTTCCCTGGATCTGGAAACTATTATTCCTTATTCAAAACCAAATTTAGATGTGGCTCCAAGCCTTTCCTAGATATAGGAATACTTGGATTCTCAAGTACAAGAAAGCAGATAATTTTCAAAGCAATCATTAACTCTAGAAATATAAAGAAGTGGGATCCCTGGGTGGCGCAGCGGTTTAGCCTGGAGACCCGGGATCGAATCCCACGTCAGGCTCCTGGTGCATGGAGCCTGCTTCTCCCTCTGCCTGTGTCTCTGCCTCTCTCTCTCTATCTGTGTGACTGTCATAAATAAATAAATAAATAAATAAAAATTAAAAAAAAAAAGAAATATAAAGAAGTTGTATAACAAGTAATCATAGAGTATCACCTGACTCAGCAGTGTACAGTATTTACATAGTCACAGTAAGGAAAACACAGAACATGGATTTTGAGGAAAAAGGTGAAAAGAATGAATGAGAGACAATTATTTAGGGAAGATGCAGTGGAAGAAGTAGGATGTGTAAGTGAACTACAAGTCTTATCTATATTAGGAAGACAGTAGGGACAGCTGGGTGGCTCAGCAGTTGAGTGTCTGCCTTCAGCTCAGGGCGTGATCCCAGTCCAGGGATCAAGTTCCACATTGAGTTCCCTGCAAGGAGTCTGCTTCTCCCTCTGTCTATGTTTGTGCTTTTCTCTGTGTCTCTCATGAATAAATAAATAAAATCTTTTAAAAAATAGAAAGACAATAATGTCTAAAATTGATAAATCAAAAGATGTTATTTAAAAATGCAGAGAGAAGAATAGTTAAGAGTTGACAGTTGATTAGAGGAGTAGTGACAAGAACTATATTTTGTATAAAATTTGGCATGTTTGGGCTTATATTTGCATATATCAGGGCATTTTTAAAATGTTTTTTTTAAAGAAGCCTTTCTTGAACTTCCCCATCCTCCTGCATTGAGCCCCTTCTGCACTAACCACATAGAACAGATGCAACATGTCTGCCTCCCTTCTCAGGAAGGACTGAGAAGGACTCTCTTATTCGTTGTATGTCAGAGTCATGCCCAGTGCCTAACACCTGAGAATTGCGTAGCAACTTTGGGGAAGAGTGGATGAATACAGTTACTGCTGGGACAAACCAGCTGAATAATTGCAATTGAGACATAATCTTAACCAGGTCTTTTAGGAATAGGAACCACATAACAATGATAGTGATGTGAATAAAATAATAATTATTATTATTGGATTCCTGGAAACCCCAATACCTCTATCCCTTCTAACCTGGATTTTACCAACAAGCCCTGATATTTCATTCAGCATAGGGCATGCCTACTGAATTTGCCCCTTACATCCCACCTCCTATACTAGCCCTCTACCAGACCCTCCTCACTTCATACTTAAATGACTGACTGACTGAATGACTGAGTGGTCTTTCTGTGCCTTAGTCTTATCTCTCAGCTTTCTTCCCACCCCCAAATAGTCCTGTATCAGGGTTAGTTCAGACTTCCCAGTACTCCACTCTTGTCACATTCTCCACACCTTTCCCTCTGGAGTTTAAGGTTCTCCTTATCTTTTAGCACTTCCAGAACCTGGCCTTGCTGCCCCATCCCACATTACCCCCCACACCTTCCCAGAGCTCACCACCCTGCAGGCCAAGCCAGTCTTCATTATTGCATCACACTGAACCCTCCTTCCCACTTTTTGTTATGCCAGACTTCTTTTCACCCAAAAGACCAGAGCATTCCCGTGGTCTGGGAATATAATTTTATTGTTGGGACACCTACAAATAATTTTTATGTATTTAATTAATAACTTATTGCAATTTCTCTTACTTTTCTACTATGGAAACCACTTTTGCTTTTCCTTCATAATAAAATCAACCTTCCTAAATAGAATTTGCCTTTAGGAATAACATCATTATTTCCTTTATCAATAAATATAACTTTCAATTTTGACAGATTAATAAAATGAATCTTATGTAAACTGTTCTTCTAATCAAATAATGTAAGAGCCTGATATTTTAAAAGAAGTACAGACAACCTTAAATACTACCTTTCTTTCAATTTCAAAAATTATTTTTCCTGTTGTTGTCCTGCAATCTTCAATATGTCTTAATTTCTTACTAAATGATTACTTTCTCCTTTTCTTTAACTCAGGCAGACCATTTAGAGAATTCATTTGATGAAGTATTGAGGAGTCTAATTGTTTAATGGGCAGAAATTAGTCCCTGCAAGAGTACTTTAAAAACTGGCAAATACTAGGCATAATTACAAATTCTTTGGAAGAATCTATTTCTGTACAATAGGTTAATTGGCTATAAGTAGGCAGCACTGGCCACAATTTAAACCCAGCTTCCGATTTCATCCACGATTTTTTTTAACAAATATAAGTGACTAATTATGATCAAATTAGTCCCCTTGAAGTAACAATTGGCTACTTATCCCTGATTTTCAGGATTTAAGTGGTCTAACGCACCTGCAATTAGCTTCCCACTAGCATACTGCCTACAGATCCAGAGTTATTTCCCAAAGTTGTCAAAATCTTGCCTCATGATGAGAACTCTACAGCCATATGACCAGTGACTGGTTTAGATTATGGTGACTTCTTTGGAAGAATCAAGGCAATTTTTAAGAAAACTGAAGCCAAAATAGAGTTTTGCTTCAGGGAGGATATTGGTTTAGGTCTGATTGATCCAGACAGTTGCCTCAATTCTCTGAATTATCCACATGTAGATGACATGTTCATCTATGTGATTAAAGAAAGTACTTACTCTTCTTTTCTTTATTTTAGTGGTGCAATCTGTGCATAGACTTGGTAGCATTTACCAGTGAAATATTCAAGGGAGCAGTGTTCCAGTCATTGGATGGAATTATTGTCTCAGCTAACTGTAAGCTACGGAAGATCTTTACTTTAAAATGCAAGCCTCAAGACACTGCTGATAAAGATGGTATGTTGAAGTTGCTACTATCAAGATTTTTTAAATCCCCAATATGTTTTTAAAAATAGACATACCTTTGGATAGTATTAGTACATAGTAGTGGGTTTTCTAAATTTGTTTTATTTCACTGTGGAAAAAACACTTAACATTAGATCTATCCTCTTAACAAATTTTTAAGTGTACTATATGTTATTAGTGACTATAGGTATAATGCTGTACAGCAGATGTAATGCTGTACACTAGAGAGTGCTTATTAATTTTGACCAAAACCCAGTGATTAGTAACTCCCCATTTCCCCTTCTCCTCAACCACTAACAACCACCATCCTACTCTGATTCCATGAATTTAACTATTTTTGATGCCTTATGTAAGTAAAAGCATATAGTACTTGTCTCTCTGTCATTGACTTATTTCACTTAGCGTAAGTCCTTATGGTTCATCCAAGTTGTAGCATGTGTCATTCTTTACTCTGAATCACGTTTATTTTTATTGTAGCTGAATGTCACAAAGATATGTTTTTGTGTGGGTTATTTTTCTTTGTTGTTTATGATATCATTTACCATGTGAATTAGTCAAGATTTTTAGTTGCAAGCAATAGAACCCTCTCTAAGTAGTTGAAACAGAAAAAAAGAATTTATTTAAGGAAATTAGCCTTCATAGAATCTCAAGGATATCCAGAAAGTCAGGCTTTGGGGCTACAGCCAAGAACAAATGCAACCCCCACCACAAGACTGCCGCAAGGAAGACCCCTAATAGCTACTGAAACTGGAGAAAGATTCCATAAGACACAGCATAATGCTGGGCTCTAGGTTCCAGAATTTCTGTTATTGCTGCTCTGGAAAACTGGATGTCTTCTTCCTCACTACACTGTCCAGAAGTAGACTTTTTCATGTTTCTCTGTACTGTATGAAGTCAGATATGGCTGTATCTAATTTGTAGAGCCTAGATTACATGCTGCAAGAGTGGCTAGTAAAGTGAATATCTGATTCCTGACTAAGGAGATGGGACTTACTGTGTAGCAAAGTCACCAAATTAATAAGGGTGTTCAAAAGATCTCAACATTCAGGACACCTGGGTAGCTCAAGTTGAGTATATGCTTCCAGCTCAGGTTGTGACCCAGGGGTCCTGGGATCAGCTCCGCATCAGGCTCCCAGCTAGGCAGAGGGAGCCTACTTCTTCCTTTCTCTCTGACTCTCCCCCCATCGTGTCTCTCTCTGTCTCTCTCTCTCTCTCTCTTTCATAAATAAAATCTTAAAAAAAAAAAAGTCAGCATTCAAAAGTCTCCACCATTGTCCAGGACATACTATCTCATTACTCTGTATACATTTCATGAAGTCATTTGAGATAAATTACATTTATATATTAATTAATTAGTTATATTTCTAACTATCATGGTAAAATAGTAAATGAGTAACTCCTCATATTATTTCTAGAAAGATAGGACATATACACATTAATTTTTCATTATATGATCAATAAATACAACAGAACCATCTAGAATTTATAAGATGGCATAAATTTGCCTGCTAAGCTAAGACAGTCTTAAGCAACTGAAAGTATTGAAAGAATACTGATGCTTCCTTTTGATTTTCATCTGGGATTATTTTTAACAAAATCAATTTTTCTAGAAGCCCAGGAAACAGGGCAGCACATAAGACGGCAAAGGTGATGTCTTAGAAGTTTGTATAAAGTAGACTTCAGACTTATGCTCCATCTGGATAAGCGTCTGAGAAATCCTTGTGTGGTTCACTCTGTGGAACAGGACACTGCCTGTAAATTTCATTTGATAATAAAACACAGCAGTGCATTAACAGCTCCTCAGAGAGATTACAAGCCAGGAAGTGCCGCCACTCATCTTATGTAGCATTTAAAAGGTGGCTATACAAGAAAGTGAAAGCCTTCATTTAAAAAAAAAAAAAATCACCCATCTAATAAAAAAACCTCAAAATATATAGAAATATATGTGCATTCTATATCAGATCATAGGAGGTGAATCATGACCTGATTAATATTTTTAAATAAGTGTAAGGGAAAAGTGAATCTAAATATGACATATTAAATGCTCCTCCCTCAAGCCCCACTAAAATTATAGGAATAAAAATGGTAATAAACCCACCAGGATGAAGAATATGGAAGAGTAGGAAACAACAAGCGAAGTTTGTCCATAAATTTTGTAAGACTGAGGAGTGACAGCTAACTTACAGGAGCAGAGAAAGTTGAAACTATTGGATTTACAGAGAAGCTTTCCAATGAGATTCATAATAGAACCTCAGAGGGAGTCAAGAATTGTCAGCCCTAGATACTGCAAAAGGCAGGAGTACAGAGGTTGTGGCTAACAACAAGGAGATTGGTTAAAATTGTATATGTGTTGCTATGGGATCCCAGATCCCCCTTCCAACTGCAAATAACAAGACAACAGGATATTTATTCTTTGGAGAAACTGAACCAGAGAACTTCTCAACTCATGGGTTCATGGCAGATAGACACCAAAACTAATAGGAAGAAAGAAATAGATAAAATAAGGAATAGATATATGTTTGTCTCAGTTAAGAAAGCATACTGCATCTATAAAATAGGAATAATTTGTTCTTGCTGTATTTCAATAAGCATTTTATTTATTAAAGTTTATTATAAGCTTTTTTTTTAAGATTTATTTATTTATGGGGGGGGGTGGGCAGAGACACAGGAGGAGGGAGAAGCAGGCTCCATGCCGGGAGCCCGATGTGGGACTCGATCCCAGGACTCCAAGATCGTGCCCTGGGCCAAAGGCAGGCACTAAACCGCTGAGCCACCCAGGGATCCCCATATTAGAAGCTTTTTATATAATTTAAAAACATTTACAAATCATAGGTATGCAGTTTTGGTAATCAACACAGAGTAAACACATTTCTGTAACCACCACCCAGATCAAGAAATAGAACATTACAAATATCTTAGAAACCCTATTTATAATCCCCTCCCAATCATGACCCTCTCTCTTCTTCTGAGAGGTAGCACTCTTCCAACTTCTAACACTATAAATTAACTTTATATATTTTTGAAGTTTATTTAAATAAAATCATACAATACATATTCTTTCGTATATACATTCTTTAACAAAAAACTGAGATTCATCTGTATTGCTAATTTAATTACTGTACAGTATGTCATTGTGTGAGGGTACCACTGTTTGTCTATTTTTGGCTCTTTTAAATAGTGCTGCTGGAATCATTCTACATTTCTTTTGGAGCATCTCCGTAGGCTTTCTTTGGATATTAAGGAGCTGAATGAACATATTTAAGCATTCTTAATTTCTATATTTTTTTATCCTAGAACTTCCATTAGATTCTTTCTTAGAATTTCCATTTCTCAGCTGAAATTCTCTATTTTATTATCTAATTTCTCAAATATATTAATCAAAGTTATTTTAAAAGCCTTGGCTCATAATTCTAGTATCTGTCTCTCCTGTTTTCTCTTGTCCTTGTATCCTGATAGGTCTAATTAGTTTTGGGTGAATACTGGACATTTCAACTTAGAACCTGTACAGCTATTTTGAAGCTCTGAATTGTACTTTCTCCAGAGATTTAGATTCAAACAAAAATTTTAAAAGAAAAATCCCAAGAGACTGAAAATAGGATCAAAATGTTAAGAATATTAGAAGTAGTCCAAGAGGACCACTAGTAAAGTATTAAGATTCTAAAATGAGAGACTAGAGAAAATAGGAAGGTGATATATAGGAAGGCCAGGTGTTTTCACATTGACATAGCTCATCAAAAACAGAAAAAGAAAAAGAAAGAAGAGTCACCATTGTGTAATTTCAGAATAGGAGGGAAAAAAAGATGGTCTAAGATTCCAGATTTTTTTTTAAATTCAAGTTGCATACAAGGGGGTAGGAATAAGAATAATGATGTCTGACTTCATAAAACAACGTTAGATGGTGGAAGACCTTAAAATTATATCTTCAAAAGTCTAAGGAAAAATTATTTTCAACTTAGAATTCTATACCCATCTAGTCAATTGTTTTTGTCTTCCAAATATTTATTTAAATTCTAGTTAGTTATTATAGAGTGTAACATTGGTTTCAGGAGTAGAATTTAGTGCTTCATCCCTTACATATTAATACCCAGTGCTCATCCTAACAAGTGCACTCCTTAATAATACCCATCACCCATTTAGCCCATCCCCCTACCCACCTCTTTCCATCAACCCTCAGTTTGCTATCAAGAGTGTCTTATGGTTTGCCTCCCCTCTCCTTCTCTCTTTTTCTTTTCCCTTCTCATGTGTTCATCAGTTTTGTTTCCTAAATTCCACATATGAGTGAAATAATATGGTATTTGTCTTTCTCTTTCTCTGACTGACTTAGGATAATACAGTCTAGCTCCATCCACATCACTGCAAATGGAAAGATTTCATTCTTGTTGATGGTTCTTGATAACTACAGTAATATAGTCATACTTTGATTATATAAACATTGGGCTGAATGCACCTCCTTCAAATCTGAATTTTTGTATCCTTTGAGTAAATACCTACTACTACAATTTCTGGATTGTAGGGTAGTTCTATTTTTAACTTTTTGAAGAACCTCCATACTGTTTTCCAGAGTGGCTGCACCTGTTTGCATTCCCATCAACAGTGTAAGAGGGTTCCTCTCTCTATGTATCCTCACCAACATCTGTTTCCTGCTTTTCTTCCCCTGCCCTCTAGTGACATACCTAGTAAGGAGTTGCTATGGCCTAGGTAAAAGAGGTTGCTGCCTGTGTTCTCTTCTGGGATTTTGATAGATTCCTGTCTTACATTTAGTTCTCTAATCCATTTTGAGTTTATCTTTGTATATGGTGTAAGAAAGTGGTCCAGTTTCATTCTTCTTCGTGTGGCTGTCCAGTTTTCCCAGGACCATTTTTATTGAAGAGATTGCCTTTTTTTTTCCGTTGGATATTCTTTCCTCCTTTGTCAAAGATGAGTTGACCATAGAGTTGAGGATCCATTTCTGGGTTCTCTATTCTGTTCCATTGATCTATGTGTCTGTTTTT